ATACCTGCCAAACACAATCTCAGAGCAGAAAGTGGCTGGAATTTTGCTATGCCTAAGCTCAACTATTCTTGAGCTGATATTACTAGTCCATAGGCATTGCATTAATAAACTATTACTTCTGTTTAGGGAATATTCACACAGACACACACACACACAGACACACACACACACACACACACACACACACACACACACACACACATTAGCTTGCTTTTATAAAACTACATTCAGCAAGAATTAAGTCACAATACCTCGTCCAGTGAGAGAAAAAAATCATTACCCAGGTCAATATTTTTACCCACATCACACCAGTTTACTGAAAGTATATCTTTCCACATACCACCTCCTTAATCTGGTTTTATCTTTTTATCTCCAGTGGGCTTTGGCACTCTGTTATATTTAGGACCGTGATGCCAGATATTTTCCCATAGTTATCCACATAAAAACGACTAAATATAATGAAATTTTATAATATTATTATAAATTCTAAGTAGAATGGAAACTTAAATGAAAAAAACCCTAAAATTTCAAAATTATTTCTAAGGGAGTATACATGCATAAGAATGTAAGATGAATTGCTAAATGGTCTTGGTAATAAAAAACCTGATGCCAGCTATTGGGTAAATTCTGAAAGATCAAAGAAACTGAACAAGCCACAGATAACCTCACCTCGCCAAACTTCCTGTTTCCTCAAACTGGAAGCCTCTGAGTCCTCATCTGAATGGATCTCAGCTGAATTGCTGCTAAAAGCCTAAAAGCATAAAGGCCTCTAGCTCCTGGTCATCACACCTTATATACCTTTCTGCTTCCTGCCATCACTTCCTGGGATTAAAAGTGTGTGTCACCATGCCTGGCTGTTTCCAGTGTGGCCTTGAACTCACAAAGATCTGGATGGATCTCTGCCTCCCAAGTGATAGGATTAAAGGTGTGTGTGCCACCATTTTCTGGCCTTTATGTCTATCTAGTGGCTGCTCTGTTCTCTGACCCCAGATAAGTTTATTAGGGAGTACAATATATTGGGGGACACAATATCACCATATAAGACTTTTAAGGTCTAAATGAAAATGGCTTTATCAAACAAAAGAGTGATACAATGTAAATAAACATGAAAATTTTGATGTAGCAGGACAAGTTAGGAAGAGTGAAAGATTAGACACACAGTATAGAATAGGAGAAAAATATTTGCAGTACATGCAAATAATAAAGTACTAGCTTCCAAAATGTTTAATGAAGCCTACAAATCAATAAATAATGCAAATAACTCAATAGCAAAATGGACAAAGAATGTGAGCAAGCAATTAACAGAAGAGGAATTTCAAATGGGAAGAACGTTTTTAGAAAATCTACCACTGTGCTAGAAATTAAGGAAATAAAAAAATATTGGAAAGCAGTAAGAAACCATGCCAAATCAATCTGCCTAGTGAAAAATAAGAGACTATTTGTTGATGAGGATGAACACTCTACTGAGAGTTTATCCTGATAGCACTAATTTGGAAGGTAATTCAAAAATAGTTAGAGGAATAGAACACGAATCACTTATAACTCAATAACTGCACTTCTAATTGTTTTCTGGTAAGCACTACTGTCAGGGAATGCTACCACATTTTTTTTTTCTGTTTAACTTTCTGACCGAAAAATAATTGGCATGTTAAAGAACATGTCCTTGCCTCCAAACCCATGGGCAGACTCCTCACATTTCTGAGGTATTCACTCAGACCTGTCTGCTTTCCTTCAGAGAATATCAAAACCGAACTCTCCCGAGAGCCAGGGCTGTAAAGCTAGAGTAGAAATATCGCCCTTTTCTTCTTATAAAGGATATACATTTACACTTTAAAATCTGCTTTTCTGTGTGTATGTATAGAGATTACCTAATTAATACTGTAAGCTTCTTTTGATTATTTTGTCTCTGTGGTCTTTTCTACACACACACACACACACACACACACACACACACACACACACACACATACACACACACACCCATGTATGCACTCTACTGTGGGACATGGGTCATATACAGGGCACAACTCCCAGCTGAAGCATCCTGAATTTGTAAGTTATTCTAAGGAAAAGAGCTGCCTTGGAGGGTCTCTCGCTGTCTTTTTTTTTTTTTTTTTGTTTTTTTTGTTTTTTTTGTTTTTCGAGACAGGGTTTCTCTGTGTAGCTTTGTGCCTTTCTTGGAACTCATTCTGTAGACCAGGCTGGCCTTGAGGAGGGTCTCTTAATGAAAATAATTTTATGAGAAATAAAATGCATGTAGTATGTCATTAGTATTTAAGTCTTATTTTTAAAAGTTGAAGTTTGTTTTGACTAATAAAATAGTGCTGTCAAACATTTTCCTGACTTTTCTAAGGAACCAGCTCTTATTAAATGCAAAAATAGTGGTTTCTATATTAATAATTTCTGCCTTTTCTTATTTCCTTTCTGCCTTTTTTTAGGTTTAATTATTGTTGTTATTCTACACACTGAATTCATTTTTATTTTCTTATAGTTACTAAAGTAAGCATTTGAGTGTAATATTTTTACTTTGAATAGCATTTTAGTTTTTGTCTGATATACAACATTAAATGACTATATTTGTTTTTGAAATTATATTTTTCCTCATACCTGTTTTTCTCAGGAAAATGTTGCATTTGACTTTAATTTTGGAGCAGCAATATTATTTTCTTTCTTCTTCCCTGCCTCACTAAGCTAGTTAAAAACTAACTAGTTTATTTTATTACAATCAGAATATATTTTCTACTTTTGTATGCATGTCAGTATAAGTCAATCTTGAACATCTTACTGTACAAATCCTCTGGAGACCTACTGTTCATTCTTTTCCTGATTGTTCTAGCTTGACATATGTAAAATACCAAACCCCCAAAATTATAGACTATTCATTCATTACAAAGGTTCATAAATCATATGTAACATATGTTGGCCATATCGAAGGAATGTGAAAGGAATAAAATCATTCAGAGTATGTTCTTTCAAAATCACAGAAATAATTCAGACATTAACATTAATAACAAAATCTAGAAAATTCTTTTGGGTTTGGATCAGAGAATAAATTATAATAGAGATAAAAAAAATTCCAAGTTGAATCATAAATGAAATGTAAGCTGTCATGTGCATATCTGAAGATTTATGACACTGAAACAAACATATTTTGGTTATTGCTGGGGATATGTGAGAGTCCTCATCATAATTTATTATTAAAATTCAAATTCAAAATGAAATATGGCTATATACTTACCAGAATGGATAGATTAAGAGTGAACTTGCTAGATATTGTAATGATATAGAGCAACTAGATCCCACATATATTGCCAATACTATTTTAAATTGACACAAACTACTTTGGAAACCTGGGACTTTTCACTCCTTATCATTTATCCTATAGTTCAAAATTGTACTTTCAGATAAACACCCAGAAATATGTGTATAGGTATTTATATACATCAAAAGTCAAGAACAAATATGTTCATTTCCACATTATTTATGACAGCCAGATATTTGAAACAGCTTAGATAGCCATCAGTTGAGTGGATAAATGAATTGAGTATATTTATGAAAAACATAGTGATAAAAATTAATGAACTACTGCTGTGTGCAATGATACTGATGAATGGCTCACATAAATATAATGCTGGGCAAAATGTCCAGACATAGAAAAGCATATGCTACAAGATTTCATTTATGGGAAATGTGAACACTGGTTAGGAATCAAGATAGCAGCCACTTCTGGAAGGAGTGTGGGTTTTGTACATGGGAGAAGACCCAGAGTCACTTGGGAAGTGCTGGCCATGCTCTAGTTCTCATCTGGATGATAGTGATTATTTCTTGGCTGAAAAATGTGTGATTTCTACCTTTTATTTCCAGTATTTCCTTTCTAAATGTTTAATAATTAAACTAGAAATTACTATTTTGTCATGCATGTCAGATAAATACTGATCTGAATCAAATTTGAGTTTCTGAAGCAGACACCAGAGAATGTTCAGGTTTTAAAAATGAACTGTTCATATTTGCGAGCTCTCAGTGCATTAGGTCCCTTTGGAAGTCAGAACTTGGACTGTGCCGTCTGAACACCCTCCTTTATACAATTCAGCTTCAGCAACATCAAATACTTGCTCTTTTCTTTCATTCCTTTCTCTGATTTTACTTCTAAATGTTCTGCTGAATTTTGTAAACTCTTTTGGCTACTTGGAATCTCCTCTATCTTGAAATGTGCTGCACTACCCTCAAAATGTGTTCAGAAACCCACTGTTTCTCCCACTGTCTTTCCTAGTTTTCCTGGCTTAAGACACTTCATCTCTCTCCTGAAGACACAAAACACATCTGCTAGTCATTCTGCTTTCAGCCTAGCGCTCTGATCTGGACTGCATAGGGAAATCAAAATTCTCATTAATGTTGAGATAGTTTTTCTTATACTCAAAACATTCTGAAAAACCCTCTTATTCACTCAACATCTGATTTTAAGCTGTTACCTAACCTGTAATAGCTTGTGATAACTTCCTTTGGCCTTACCACTCTGTCCTTACTAACTTCATTCTGGGTGTCTTGGCCTCCTTTATATCCCTTTAAATAATTAGTGTGGCTCTATCTCAAGGCTTTCATATTTGTTCCTCCTTCCAGGGTATTCTCTTTCCACAAATGGCCATTTTCCTTGTACCTTTCATTCTGGATTCTGCTCAAATATCTTCATTCCATACGAGCCTTGTTGACCATTTAAATAAAACTACTCTCCTTATTACCCACTTTCCCTTTTTCCTTGAAATTTATTACTACATAATAGTATATAGGAAATTCTGTGCTATGATTTAATTGCCATAAGGCTATGAAATGTGTCTTCTTCCAACTTATATCTTCAACCTGAAGAAGAACGTATCTAGAAAATAAGAATCAATAAATGACAAATTTATGAATAATTGAACAATAGCATAAGAATTAATAGGACTGTTAGACTGTGACACTGCGGCGCGCCCCGACCAGCGGGGAAGGACACCACGACTCGAGGATTCTTCTTCTATCACGGTTTATTGAAGCACTGCTTGGTTGAGGGAGAGCTGGAGGTGAGGGGCCCCGAGCACGGATGCCGGAGTGCTTATATGCAGGCTGGAGGTGTGTCATGCCGGTCTGATACACGAGGCAGTGCGGGATTGGACAGGCGCTGTTGCTAGGCAGACAGGCTTAGGCATACGTGACAGACAGCTCGAAGGCTGATGTGGCAGGGCGTTGCCCAGAGAGGAAGTCGGCGCCATCTTGCAATGGCGGACAGTCGCCACAGTTCCCCCTTTTTTCTTAAAAAATGGCATGAGGACTTACTCCCAATCAGGTTCCCACCTCATGATGTGTGAACCGATCAAAGGAGACCTGGCAGACCCATGCTCCTTCTCCAGTACAATGGGTATATACCCCTGGAGGTGCAAAGGCAACACTGGATCAGGCCACCATCAAGTAAAATACAATCCCTCTGGGTGCAATGGCATAAAGCTGCCTCCAGGTACAAGGGCATCGTATTATACATTTTTTAGAACAGCTATCCAAGCTTGGGGGGAACTGCCCGCATCCAGGGCAGCCAAAGCTTTAGCCATAGCCATGTTTTCTACCTTGCGCCTTCGTGACATGCGACACAGCAAAAACAACACCAAAGCCAGTCCTACAAGAATCACACTCCCAAACATCCCCACTCCCACCCACTCCTTAAACAGGGAAACTGCAGAAGTGATCCAGGAGGTCATCCCCTCAGCCAAGCTGAGGTCCACTCGTGTGGAATTGATGGCAACCACTGCATGTCGAAGATCTCCCAACAGCACATCAAAGTCGTTGGACCAATTTCCTGCTAAATAATGAGATAAGGCACGGGATAAATTAGCAGCCCTGGTATAATTCCTATAAGGGACACTGGTAATGCAGAGCGCATTATACTTCCATTCACATCCAAGCTGAGCCAATTGCCAAAGCATATCTAGTTGTTCCTGAACTAGATCAATTCTCTGATTTACTATTAATAAGCCACCTTTTATATGTGAATCCAATCTGGCCTGAGAATCTAAAGCTTGAGTTACCTGATCAGATAATTGATTAAGGGTAGATGCTGTTTGCACCGAGGTGGACATAGCAATGCCAGCAACCGTAGCCCCCGTGGCAGCGGCCGAGATCGCAATAATCACAGCCGCAGTTATGCCAAAGTCTCTTTTTGGGCGAAACAACGTCATGGGGCTAGGTGTTTCAACTGGTACAGGAATCCAGCGGGGAACACGGGCCACCATCGCTCTAGTATATTGGGTGGCATCCCAGCATTGTGCAAGCATACAGCCCCTATCGCTGCAGCTTTCAAAAGAAGAATTACTTAATATAAACAAAAATGGAGGATACACACACACCGGAGCGGGAGAGAAGGTATCATTTTTAAACTGCTTAACTATCTTTACAATTCCACCTGTCAAGGACTTCTGTTCCCATGAGGCACCCCATTCATTAGTAGGTGGGTCCTTCATGGAGGAATTCGAAAGAGACATCCTTGTAAAATTAGTAAGACCCGCTGCTCCTCCTTGTAGCAGGGAAAATACGTTTAAACCAGAGCAGCTGCCATTTACTCCACAAAGCATCCATTTATCATAAGGTTTCATCCGTGGATCTTGCAGAAAAAATCCTTGATCATACACATTGTTATCCTTCTTGGGGCCACGCATGTCAGGCGAGAATGTAAAACGTTTGCTCGAATCTGCCCATGTCAATATCTTTGACTGACAATCAGTCCATGGCCAAGTCTCTCCCTCATAAACTCCCAGACAATGTGGAGCATATTTTGGCTGAGCCGGGGGAGAATCCTCACCCTCAAAATTATTACGAGGAACTATGAAGGTACCATTAAACCACACGGCTCTTTCATAAGAGGTAGAATTAAGAACTTGATAACAAAGGCTCTTATTACTTCTGACGCAGTTCTCTACTGAGGTCATAGCGTACTTTCCGATAGTGTCACCCTCGAACCATGCTAAACCCTGTTGTTTGAATATCAAACATTTCTCCTCACTAAGATTCCCAGGATTGACTGTAAAGCAAATTGATCCCTCCTCCTGAAAACTACGATTTTCTCCTAGCGGAGCAGTCTGCCTATCTAGAGGAAGCCAAGGGAGGCCTAGCTCTTTGGTGGTGGTAAAAAAGCGAGGAAACACTGCGGCATTATGGCGAACTGGCATCGGCTTCGGGAACGCTGACAGTATTCCCCATCTCTGTTCCATTCTTCCCAGGCTCCACATCATTAGCAGCAGGACTACTCTCAGCTTCCAACGGCTCATATTCATCTGAGGGAACATCTTGTAGAGCCTCTTTCACTTGTCTGGTGAGTCTTTCAGGCACCCAAATGGGATCCGGACGGTTCTGTGGGAAAACACAAACAGCTCCCCTGGACCTGGTGATAACAGGATCCGGGCCATACCATTTGTTATCCAACACATCCCGCCAGATAACTGCGTTCTGGGGGGTGGGGATCGCCTGTGCATGGCGATCAGCTGCAGTCTTATCATCCATGTCTCGAATTAAAAAATTTAGGGTGAATAAAGCATAGGAGATCCGTTCTTTAGGTGATGCATATGCAGCTATTCCCCCTTTTTGTTTAATGAGCAACTCCTTGAGAGTACGGTTAGCACGTTCCACAATTCCCTGTCCTTGAGGATTATAGGGAAGACCAGTTTTGTGGACAACCTGTAATTGACTGCAGAAATTTTGAAAACCTTTTGATGCATATGCTGGGCCGTTGTCCGTCTTAATCATTTGGGGTTTTCCCCATGCCGCCCAGGCTTCAAGGCAATGAGTTTTTACATGTATTACCTTTTCTCCGGCTAATGGGGAGGCAAAAATGATACCAGAATAGGTATCAACTGAAACATGCACATACTTTAATTTCCCAAATTCTGGAATATGTGTAACATCCATTTGCCACAATGTAAGAGGTTTCAATCCTCGAGGGTTAATACCCACATGAGGTGGATGTAAAAATTGCACACAGCCCGCACATTGCTTAACAATTTCTCGGGCTTGACTGCGTGATATGGAGAACTTCAACCGAAGTGTATTAGCAGGGACATGGTACTGGCGATGAAATTCCTTTGCTTGGGACAATGGATCGATCATAGCTACAAGTGTCATACGCGTAGCCTTATCAACCACGTCATTCATTGTAGCCATAGGTCCAGGCAACAAAGAGTGTGCTCTCAAATGCCCTATATAGAAAGGAAACTTACGATCCAAAACAGCATGCTTAAGTTGGAGCAACATGGGAGAAGCTAAGCTATGAAATTGAACAATGGCTGCCGTCTCTAAATGGGCCACGGCATTAACAACATAGTGAGAATCGGAAAAAACATTCACAGGACAATGTGGAAAATCTTTAAACACTTGTAAGACCACCAAGCATTCTACTACTTGAGGCCTGTCAGGGGTAAATTGGAAAACCTTTGGCTCACTCCCTGATTGGGCATACACTCCTCTGCCCGTTTTTGAGCCGTCAGTATAGATAGTGACTGCTTCTGCAATAGGAACTGATTGGGTTACCCTTGGAAAATAAACCTCATTTCTATTTACAAAGGATAATAGCTTATTAGAGGGAAGATGATTATCTATTATACCAGAGAATGATGTAACTAATACAGGCCAAACCTCTGTTGAGGCCACTAACATCTGTACTTGTTCTTGGGTATAAGGAATGATAAGCTTATCTGGCTCCTTTGCAAAATGTTGGATAGCTAACTTAATGCCAACAAAAGCCTGATGCGCCACTAAATCTGGATAATAAGACAATGTCCTCAATCCTGGTGAATGTCCTGGTATCCATAGTAGAGGAGCTTCCTGCCAGAGCACCCCTAAAGGAACTCCAGCTGTTTGAAGAATGCATAGTATCAATGGTTTCTGTGGCACTATGCGAGAAAGCTGAGCCCGATTTATGGCCTCCTCGACTATTTGCAAAGCTTGAAGTCCCTCAGGAGTAATACTCCTAGAGGAAGTAACATTGGGATCTCCTTCCAATATCTTAAACAAAGGTTGCAAAACTTCTCTAGGGATATCCAAATATCCTCTAAGCCAATTTATATCTCCTAGCAATTTTTGGAAATCATTCAGAGTGGATAACTGGGAAACTCTAATATTCATTTTCTGAGGTCTGATGCAGGTGGCATCGATCTGTGCCCCCAAAAATTGAACTGTTTCTGTCTCCTGCACCTTCTCAGGAGCAATATATAAGCCCCAGTCTTTCAGGCTTTTCTGCAGGGCAGTAAAGGATTTATTCAATATGCTCCGATTCGATGCGGCCAACAGGATGTCATCCATGTAATGAATTATGCGCACCGAGGGGAAGCTGTTTCTAATGGGAGCAATAGCCTTTGCAACATAAATTTGACACATAGTGGGACTGTTAGCCATGCCCTGAGGTAAGACCTTCCATTGGAACCTTAGATCTGGCTTCTCATGATTTACAGAAGGAAGAGTAAACGCAAACCTTTCTCTATCATTAGGGGAGAGAGGGATGGAGAAGAAACAATCTTTAATATCAATTACTATCAAAGGCCATCCTCGAGGTAGGGCAGAGAGCAAGGGTAGCCCCCTTTGCACTGGACCCATGATCCTCATTTGGCCATTAATAGCTCTCAGATCATGAAGTAGTCTCCATTTTCCAGATTTCTTTTTAATAACAAAAATTGGTGAATTCCATGGTGAAAGAGAAGGCTCAATATGTCCTAAGGACAGTTGTTCTTTGACCAGATTTTCTGCAGCCAAAAGTTTTTCCTGTGTTAAGGGCCACTGAGGTACCCAAATTGGCTTATCCGTTGTCCAAGGAATACTTAATACATCCTCAGTGGCCCCTAGGAAAAACCCAAACCCTTCCTGTCCGCTTTAAATCTTGCATCAAGTGGCTCAACCCTTCCTTGTAGGGAAGCTCCTAAACCTCTTCCGGGCACATAGCCCTGTTTCATCATAAGATCTTTACTAGCTTGGGAATACTCATTAGTCAAAATTAGTCGCAATTGTTGCTGGACATCTCTTCCCCACAGATTAATAGGAATGCTCACTACAAAGGGTTGAAACATGCCTTGCTGATCCTGTGTCCGCCAGTGTAGCGTCTTTGCACTTATCTCTGGCGTTTCCTGGTATCCCAAACCTAGTAAGGACTGAGAAGCCTCCTGTAAAGGCCACTGTTTTGGCCAATCTTCTCGACGCATGACACTCCTGTCAGCGCCAGTGTCCACAAGGCCAGTGAAATCTTTCCCTTCAATATGTAAGGTCAGCATAGGCCGGTGGCCTAGGTCTAGGGATAAACATGCAAGGTCTACTCCCGTAGAGCCAAACCCTTGAGGGCCACGCACTCTACTTGCAGCCGGGAAATTGTTATGTTTGGATGGAATAAGGATTAACTGGGCAATGCGATCTCCAGGAGCTATGGAGATGATTCCGTAAGGGGAATGACACATCACTTTAATAGTTCCAGTATAATCTGGATCTATTACTCCTGGCAGTACCATTAATCCTCTCATGGTGTTTGATGATCTCCCAATAATAATCCCTACAGTATCCTTTTGTAAAGGCCCAGACATATCTGTATCTAGCATCTGTATCCCCATTTTTTGTGTCAATACCAGTCCGGAGGCGGCACGGAGGTCCAGCCCTGCGGAGCCTGTGGTTGCTCTCCTGACTTCGGAGGTGGTCGCAGGCTGGGCTCCTGAAGCGCCCCATATGCATTCGGGCCCTGGGGACGGGGGCCCCGCTGCCCGTTTTTTGGCCAAGGAGACTGAGTTGATTGAGGGATCGGCTGCCCATTGATGTCCTTAACTGACCTGCATTCATTTGCCCAATGTTTCCCCTTCTTACATCTAGGACAGGTTCCGGGGACCCTAGCATTATTGGCAATTCCCGGATTAGATTGAGGGCAGTCACGTTTCAGATGTCCGACCCGCCCACATTTAAAACAAGCTCCTGTCTTTTTTCCATTCTGTTTACTGGCTGCGATCACGGCTGCTGCCAACCCTGCATTGGTTAGAGGGCCGCCTATTTCTCGGCATGCTTTTAACCAAGCTTCAAGTCCTTTACTCTTCCAAGGTGTAATAGCTCTTCTGCATTCCTTAGTAGCCTGCTCATAGACAAGTTGTTGGACAAGGGGCATTGCCTCTTGAGCGCTACCAAAGATCTTTCCTGCAGCATCCATCATACGAGCCACAAAGTCTGAAAAAGGCTCACTTGGTCCTTGCACAATTTTTGTAAGATTACCTGAAACCTCTCCCCTTTTTGGTAACATTCTCCAAGCCTTGATGTATATATCATTAATCTGATTGTAAACCTGTACTGGGTATGCTGTCTGATTAGCTGCCCACTGCCCCTGGCCTAACAACATATCCGCTGTCCAGGCTGGCTGCTGCAATTGCTGCGCATTTATGCGAGCTTGGGTATGCGCCATATCAGTGACAATGGACTTGAAATCCAAATACTGCCCTGTAGACAAGCATGCTTTTACTACCTCAAACCAATCAGACGGGGTCATGGCCTGAGTGGCTAGTCTTTGCAACAAAGTCAAGGTATAACTGGCAGAATGACCATAGGTTTGAGCCGCCTGTACTAAGTCTTTGAGCTGCTTATAAGGAATAGGCTCATGCCAGCGATGATTGGTCTGAGGGTCCTCAAAAACGGGGAAAGCGGAAGCTAGTCGCGACCAAGTTTGGCTGCGAATAAAATGACATCCGGAGGTTGAGCTCGTGTAGGGCGGTGGTTTCCTATCAGACAATGGCGCCTTATTGCCTGATGGCTCCCATCCCCCGTATCTGCCACTCTCATACCTAGCCGCTTCCTCCTCAAGATCAGCTTCCTCCTCTTCAGAAAGCTCATCCTCAGATTCCTCCTCCTCCTCAGATAAGTTTATAGCCGCAAACTCATCCAGTATGGGATAGAGCGGTGCACTCGGCTCTACCCTTTTCCTTCCTTCTTCTTGTTTTTCCTGTTTCTTTTCCTTTTGTTTCTGTTTTTCTGCCTTTTTCTTCTTTCTTTTTTCCCCTCTATCCTCACTGTCTCTGCCTTCTGCTCCAGAAAGACTGTCCTGATATGCTGTTAGCGCTCTCCTGCCTGCTCTCAATGCTTCCACACTCCGGTCATCTTTCAAACAGGATCGCATCAGTTTCCAAAAAGGAAAAGTCCCCTTCCCTAACGTTCCTTCCTCCTTAGCTCTCTCCAGATCTTTTCCAAGCTTTTCCCAACATGGGCCCGTTAGGTCTCCTGAAACTAAAAACCATGGAGCCACTTTATCAATATCTTGTAGAACTTTCCGTAATGAACTGGTGCTAATCTTCAGATCTCTCTGGCGCAGGATTGCCTGGGCCGGATCAATAAAAGCCTCACAGTGAGAGCTATGACTTCCACCCATGGCGCTGGTTTATCTACAGAAGACTTATCCACGGGCGTACGCTGCCGCTTTATCTACAGCGGTCTTACCTTCGTTTTTTTTCAACAGCAACACAGGCACTCCTGTCCTGGCTGGTGGCACCGGAGCCAAAAACAGCAAAATAACACAACAAGAACAATCAAGAGGAACAAACCAGCAAAGACTAAAGGGTTGATTCCAGCAATCAACATACCTGGGGAACTTAACTTACCGACGTCGTCCGCTTCCCGTGTGAAGTTCTGAATCCTCTTCGGCCCCTCACGATGGGTCCCGGGTTTCAGCACCAGCTGCGGCGCGCCCCGACCAGCGGGGAAGGACATCACAACTCGAGGATTCTTCTTCTATCACGGTTTATTGAAGCACTGCTTGGTTGAGGGAGAGCTGGAGGTGAGGGGCCCCGAGCACGGATGCCGGAGTGCTTATATGCAGGCTGGAGGTGTGTCATGCCGGTCTGATACACGAGGCAGTGCGGGATTGGACAGGCGCTGTTGCTAGGCAGACAGGCTTAGGCATACGTGACAGACAGCTCGAAGGCTGATGTGGCAGGGCGTTGCCCAGAGAGGAAGTCGGCGCCATCTTGCAATGGCGGACAGTCGCCACATGACACAGATTTGGCAGGTATATTTTTCAGTCAAAAGTAGTGCAGTAACACACACACATAACATGTCATTTGACATCTGAAGTGGAATTTTTTAACATCCTTCTATGTGATAAAATTGTTTTCATCAATAGCCACCCAATGATCGATAATAATGATCATTTTCTTGATTTGACTTTAGTTTTAATGTTATTAAAAATCAAGGAAAAATTTAATCCAAGTTCCATGATATTTAACTTCAATGCAATTCTTTCATCTATGAACTGTAATTCACACTTACCAAATAAGAATAAGAAGTAGTGGTTTCACTACTTTAACATTTAAGCACAAATGTCTTGAAGAGTAATTATGTGGCCAGAGAGATGGCTTAGCAGTTAAGAGGACCAGCTGCTCTTCTAGAGGATGTGAGTGAGATTCCTAGCACCCACATGGTGGCTCACAGTTGTCTGTAACTCAAGTTCCAATGGATCCATTGCCTTTTTTGGACATTGCATGCAGGCAAAACATTCATACACACAGAATAAAAATTGATAACTCTTTCTTTAAAAACTTATACGTGGTTAGTTAGAATGACAGAAATGAAAGAATTGAAGTAACCCTAGTCTTCTTTTATTTTCATAGCCACTGTCTTAGGGTTTCTATTGCTGTGAAGAGACACCATGACCATAGTAACTCTTATAAAGGAAAACATTTCATTGGGGCTGGCTTACAGTTCAGAGGTTTAACACATTGTCACCATGGCATGAAGTATACAGGGTGCAGGCAGATATGGTGCTGTAGAAGGAGCAGAGAGTTCTACATCTTGATCTGCAGGCAGCAGGAACTGAACTGGTTTGAGCTTCTGAGATCTCAAACCCCATCACCTAGTGACACACCTCCTTCCAACAAGGCCACACCTCCTACTAGTGCCACTCCCCATGAGACTATGGGAGCCACTGTGCTATCATTATTTACTTCTAATTTATTTCACTCTACACAGGAATATGAATTAATGCAGATGTTGGAGGTAGAAACTGCCAAACGGAGCTTGTGAAAATCTGAGCTTCCATTAACTCACACTCAATTGAATATGTATAGTTGAGGGTGCATGTGCTGAAGACCCACCATACAAGTCACAATTCTCAAAATGAATGTCCATATAGAAAGATTTTTAAAGAAAAGTAGTAAAAATAGCTCTTGGTTGCCTGCCAGAACTTGAAGACAAGATTCTATTGCTGAAGATATCATACATTTAATCACAAGACTTGAAGGAATCATGCTGGTATTGATCTGGAAGACTCCTTACTTAGGACTAGGGGGGGAAATTTTTTTCTTAGGTCCTCGTAATTGAGGTGGGGGAATCCTAAGACCAAAGAAAGGTGAGGAAGCTTAGGCTGTTGATTGACAGTACTTGTTCTGGAGTATATCTGACCTGTTGCAGGTGGATCCAAGTCCCTGGAGCTTACATGATTTTTTTTTGAGTTTGCAAAGAGATAAGTTTTAGACACATTAGCATTTCCACTGTTTATAATCTGTACTGAAATTTACCTTGTAGAAATGGCAGTATACTCATGCCTTTGAGCCATTAAAAATCAACCAAAGGGAATTTAAAGTCCTGAGCTTGTGGCTATGATAATAGTAGTAGTAGAGTGGTTAGTACCCTGCCAGAGCTAGATTAATAGCTTATCAGAATTCCATCAACTAATATTTCATTCTATTATACATCTCAAATCACTTTCTCCTTATCACCACTTAAGCTTTCCTATCTTCACATAAACAAACCTTAAAGCACCTGGTCCTTTCCCATCACCACAGCATCACCTTGGCATCCTCATTCTATCCAGTTTACCAGGAGACACAGGTGGTTGATTACTGAGGGCAGTCATTGTAAAGAGTACCTTTTAAATAAAGGGATAGTAAAAAGTTACGTTGAAATCCATTCTGTGAGTCTCTTTTTGAGTCTGAGGCATGTGGATATCTCTGGGGTGCTGTTGGTTCTTACCACCCAGGCATGTTTGGTAGTCTTTGTGCCTCCAGCCCTGTGGTTAATGGTTGGCAGTCCTGTAACAATAGCTAATTTGTTGTTGATTAGAAATTTTTGAATGTGTCATTGGAGATATAGAGAAGAAATTGATGAAACGGTGTGATTAGTAGAGACAGGAAAATGAGGAAAGGGGTCAAGAAGGAAAACATCCACTTCCATATGGGGTTCTCCATCCAGTAGAGTTGAGCATGGCTATGGGGTGAAGCCTCATTCTTCTGGAACTGCTGACAAGTCAGTTGATCTCAGTGTTCTCTGAAACTTAAGGGAGCAGGGTCCTATTGGGGTTGATGTGTATGAAGTAAAATTGTCTTGAGATGGGGGAGTAAAGGGCTTGAGTTGTGATAGGTGAATCCAGTGAGGGAGGACCTCAAGCTTAGGAGCTGTGGGGGTTACAAGAGTTACCTTGAAGGGGCCCTGCAATTTAGGGGAAAGGGGTGAGGGACGTTGGTCTGGAGAAGAGAGAAGGACCTGATTTTTGGTTGATTGGGGATGGACAGGGGCTGATGCATGGTCAGGGTAGGGAGTGGTCAGTATAGTTCCATAGGAGAGAGTGGATATTACAGAGTAAGGGAGTGAGTAGGTGATCAGGGAGAGGTGAGGATTCATGTTGGAGACCAGGGGTCAGAATCAGCTGCTCATACATAAGCTCAAATGGGAAGATGGGAAGGGGTTGCTTGAGGAGAGTCTGGAGCCTGAAAAGAGCCAGAGGCAAGAGTTTTACCCAATTGAGGTGAAGTTCCTGTGATATTTTTTTTTTTTTGTTTTTGTTTTTTTTGTTTTGTTTTTTTCGAGACAGGGTTTCTCTGTGTAGCTTTGCGCCTTTCCTGGAACTCACTTGGTAGCCCAGGCTGGCCTCGAACTCACAGAGATCCGCCTGGCTCTGCCTCCCGAGTGCTGGGATTAAAGGCGTGCGCCACCACCGCCCGGCTCCTGTGATATTTTTAAAAGGGTGTTTTTTTTAAGAAGCAGGTAGTTCGTTCTATCTTCCCTGAGGACTGGGGATGGTATGGAATATGGAAATGCCAAGGAATTCTGAGGACTTTAGACAGGGTTTAGGAAATCTGGGAGGTGAATTCAGGACCATTGTCTGACTGGAGGGAGGCTGAGATTCCAAAACAGGAATGATCTCCCAGAGGAGTTCAGAGACTGTCCTGAGCCCTTTGTTAGTTGTTTGGAATGCCTCTACGCAGTTTGAGAATGTGTCCACTAAGACCAGGAGGTACCTAACTCATCTGACTATGATCGTGTGGGTAAAGTCAAGTTGCCAGTTAGTCCCTGAGCAGGAGCCTCTGGCCTGGTGGGTAGGAAAAAGAGGACTGTGGTATCTGGACTTGGGGTCTGACATTTGACAGATTTTACAAGAGGCAGTAATAGTCCTTAAGAAATGCAAGTCCTCAGGGATGGGCTGCAGGTGGGCCTTGACAAAATGAGACAGAGCTTGGCTATTAGGATGAAAGAGCTGGTGCAAATAGGATAGAATTTGTCAAGTGTCAGGTGGTGACTGGGGATGTGGGTTGTAGTGTATGGATTCCCTGTGGTGCATGGGGTGAGTCTAGGCCTTGGAGAACTGCTGCTCTAGCTGCCTTGTCAGTTCAGTTATTTCCTTAGACATGATGGAGTTGTCAGTCTGATGATACCATCAGTGAATAATTCCAATAGCTGCGCAGAGATGGGAGGCTTTTAGCATGGCCATAATTTTACCTGAGTTGGTTACGGACACTCCTTTTGTTGTAAGTAGTTCACACTCTTTCCAGATGACAGCATGGGACAAGAGGATATGAAAAGAATATTTAGAGTCTGTGTAAACATTAAGGGATTGTCTTTGTGCCAATTGGAAGGCACAGGTGAGAGCTATTAGTTCAGCCTGTTGACTAGTGGTAGGCATGGAGGGCCTGTGCCTCAACCACCTCAGTATCAGACACTATGGCATAGCCTGCTTTTCGGGCCCCCTCATGTAAAAAGGAGCTGTCATCTGTGTATTAGGCATAGATGGCCTGAGGCAATGTACCCTCCTATATGTATGAAGGATGGGGCAGTAGTTCTTCTAGGGTTTCAATGCAAGAATGACATGAGGAGTGGTCAATGTTTGGCTGTGAGTCTCTGCATCTGCTCCCATCAGTGGCTGGATGAAGCCTCTCTCTGATGATGATTATGCTAGACTCTGGTCTACCAGTATAGAGGACTATCATTAGGAATCATTGCTTTGACCTTTTTTTGCCAGACTTGTCTGGTTCTATCCTAGGTCTCTGGGCCATCCAGCTTCTGGGTCCTGGCCCTCCCAACAGTGTCAGACAGGTTCCCTTTCATGGCAGGAATCTCAAGTTGGACCATCACTGGTTGGCCACTCCCACAAGTTCTGCACAACCTTTACCCTAGCACATCTTATAAGCAGGACAAATGTAGATTGAATGTTTTGTGGCTGGGTTGGTGTCCGAGTCCCTCCACTGAATGCCTTGCCTGGTTATGGGAGATGGAAGATTCAGGCTTTGTGTTCCCCATTACTAGGAGTTTTTGCTAGGGTCACCCTCATAGATTCCCAGGAGTTTCCATTGCTCTAGATTTCTACTTTATCCCCAAATTGTCCTCCAATTCCAGTTATCTCTCCTAGTGCTCTCTCTCCAACCTCCATCTATTCCCTCCTGTTACCATCCCCACCTTTCCTCAGTCCACCCTCAAAATCTTGTCTATTTCCCC